CAACATTAATGTACAACAAATACATAATAATATTGTACTTTATAAATGAAGATACTGGGTCTTAGGCGGATATTTAGTGCCGTGATCGCTTCAATACTTCAATACAATGTAATCGTTAATTTTTTCGACGTGCAATCAATTGCATCACCACCCTATCATAATATTTGAGTCGTCGTGGCCTAAAGGATAAGACGTCCGGTGCATTCGTATGTAGCTATGCAACGGTGTTCGAATCCCGCAGGGGGGTACCAATTTTTGTAATGAAATACGTACTTGACAAATGTTCACGATTGACTTCCACGGTGAAGGAATAACATCGTGTAGTAAAAATCAAACCCGTAAAATTATAATTTTCGTAATTTCTGGTGGTAGGACCTCTTTTGAGTCCGCACGGGTAGGTACCACCACCCTGCCTATTTCTGCCGTGAAGAAGTAGTGCTTACTTAACATTACTTAACACCAGTTGGGCTGTGAGCTCATCCACCCATCTATGCTATAAAAAAAATGTTTTAAAGTGGGCGATGGCCCGCTGTGATTACTGTGGGATTCAACGGTCATTAGGTGAGCTAGCTACAAAACTAGAGTAATCGTATTAGAGATTAATAATACAGTGGAGCTAGACAAGTAAAATAAATCTTTTAGTTTCAAGAGTGCGTTACTAGATCAGTTTTGAACTCATGCTAATGAAGTTGAGGACGGCAATGGAGCGAAATAGGATCGCCCTCAAAAACGCGAGCTTTCGCGACGTGACTTAAATTGTAAGTTTGAAGAAAGCTCACCCGAAACGCTTTTTCCGTGGAAAGCTTTTAGATCAAGTGCATTATGACACAGTACAAGAAGAAATCTTAAGGATTCCGAGATTTGGGACCTTCTTGAATATTTGTCAAACGTAAAAAGGGATAAACATTAATATTGTATGTAGTACTTACTTTGAAGTTAATGAATTTGATTTAATTTTGTTCAAGCTTGGGTAATATTAACTTGATAGACGGATTCACGACACGTCGGATATTTCTGTCTTTTGCTTACCTATGTACTATGTGAATTTTCTGGATTCAACATGTCTAGTGGAAGAGCTCACTCTGCTCAATCTGCAACATTAGCTTTAGCAAGAGCAGTTCTCCACTGAATCTACCACCGGATCAGAATCGCGACCCACTGAGACCTCCCAGCGAGAATACCAGTGGGTTATGGGGCTATGGGCTATGGTCTATGGGCTAAACTATAATACGAATTCACCGTATTCGATGAGAACCCAGGGCTCATATACACGATACCTAAATCTGAATGTAGGTACTACTAGTATATTTTCTATATACCCCACGTCCGTTATTGCTAGAACAAAAACCGCTGACCAAATTCGCCCCTATCTTATCAGCAACAACAGAGACTTTTCGAGCTTAAAGTGATAGCTTCATTAGCGTATGAATTCGCCTGTAAGGTGCTGACTAACCCCGCGACATCCTCCGAATGCTCTGTTTCAAACATAAATATTTTATTTACGTAATAAAAATACAATATGAGGTTCACATTTGGTTTACTGTTTCGTGAGTACCTTTTACGCTCAACGTCGTCTAGTTTGAAGAGTTTTTAGCTTGACGTGGGAGCTATCGTACCACGTTGCTGATGTGTGACGGTGATCAATTCCGATCATGTGTACTGGTGGTAGGACTTCTTGTGAGTCCGCACGGGTAGGTACCACGGCCCCGCCTATTTCTGCCGTGAAGCAGTAATGCGTTTCGGTTTGAAGGGTGGGGCAGCCGTTGTAACTATACTGAGACCTTAGAACTTATATCTCAAGGTGGGTGGCGCATTTACGTTGTAGATGTCTATGGGCTCCAGTAACCACTTAATATCAGGTGGGCTGTGAGCTCGTCCACCCATCTAAGCAATAAATAAAAAAAATAATTGTATGTGAAGAAACTATATTTCTTTATAGTACATTTGTAAAGCGCTCTATAGCTCCTATGTAATCATATAGATAGCGCTGTCGATAATAGTGACATGTATTGATATTCAAGGAGATGTCATCTGCCATGTTCGGGCATATTGTTACTAAATTGGATAATTATTATAAGGAATTGAGAGTGGTGGAGTTTTAATGTCGGTTCTTTGTTTTCAGGTGAGATATCTATTATAGGTTTGCAATACAGCAGTACTGTTTGTTACTCTTGTGTACTTTTTAAGTTATTAAAATAATAAAATCTTTGTTTTTAGAGTAACTCCATGTTTAATTACAACTTACAATTCCTAGTAAATTCAATAGAAAAAGTCTTATATGTATTTTAGTCTTATTTGTATATGTAAATAAGTACCAATAAAAATGATTATAGATTTTGTTAGAAGATTCCGGTTCGGAACATCGGTCCCCCGGGAAGTATTTAATCCAATTTACTGAAGGCTTGGTACGCGTACGACGATATGCACTAGGTTTATTAGCTAAGTATTTTTCCGCATATAAATTCCCGGGCGAATCCTATTACTAATATTCAAAGTAAGTGAATAAAAAAAGAGATTTTAGTGTTAAAAATAAATAAAGAAGATTGTCATTTTTAATGTCTAGGCATCCGTGCATAGATCCGTGTCCCATGAAGCGAAAAAGTAACTTAATGATTATATGATGATGATTGAATGATTAGTATCACAGTCTGGTTATGATCAGAGCGTTTAATTTTTTGCTATCAAACTATTTTTCTATAGTTCTTAACGTAAACGACCACCCAACCTCGGACAAATACTGATTGTAATCTAGATCACATTATTAAAACATATTATTAACATTAATACGTAACAACAACTCATCTGAAGGTCATAAAATCCATCTAATTCCAACAAATGTCACAACAACGCGACAGCCGGACCTTTGAAAATCATAATTGTATTCACTAGCTAGACCTATGCTAATTCGTCGTTAATATTTAATTACATTCAAGTTTTTTGATTGGCTTTCAAAATGTCTTAATAATCGAGTATTTGTTTTTAAGATTTCGTTTTTTTTTTTTGTATTGCTTAGATGGGTGGACGAGCTCACAGCCCATCTGGTGTTAAGTGGTTACTGGAGCCCATAGACATCCACAACGTAAATGCGCCACCCACCTTTGAGATATAAGTTCTAAGGTCTCAAGTATAGTTACAACGGCTGCCCCACCCTTCAAACCGAAACGCATTACTGCTTCATGGCAGAAATAGGCAGGGTGGTGGTACCCACCCGCGCGGACTCACAAGAGGTCCTACCACCAGTTCATTATTCATTATAGATTCGGGCAACCAACGTAAGCCTGTCATTGCATTTATAATGGAGTATTGCGTATTTACTGTTGGTTTTCGTAGTAAAGAAAAACAAAATTATCACCCGAATTTAAAAAAACTTTAGCTCGATGTTGTTGAATATTAAACGTCTCGCAATGTCGATGAAAACACAATACGTGTGCTTCTATTCATTTTGTAGTCGGCTAGCTAATAATCCTATCTATCTCACATTACTGCGGTTTTTGTTAAGGCTACTCGTAAAATATTCTCGGACTGCGAGCTGCAGAAGTATGTACATATCAACGCACTTTATAAAATACTAGATGATGACCGAGCTTTGCTCGTTTTATTTATTTATTTCGCCCTCTTGTTGTGTCTTTAAAGCGGTTAGTTGCCCTCAATTAAGAAAAAAAAGTATTATTATTCGCCAATAGATGTCGGGAAGAGTTGATTATTGAAAACACGAATAAAACAACATTTTCTGAAAATAAATCGTAGCTAGATCGATTTATCGCCCCCGGAATCCCCTGTATACTAAATTTTATGAAAATCGTTGGAGCCGTTTCCGAGATTCAGATTATATATACAAGAATTGCTCGTTTAAAGGTATAAGATAATAAAAGATAGTAATTACCAAATTAGGACAGTGTCCGATAGATGTTTATTGTGTTTCAATAAATTAAAAATAAAAGAAAACAATATTTTGTTATCATGAAAAAGTCCCGATATGGTCATAATTTACTTAACCTAGTATATTCGATTGGTAATTCTCGATAGTGATTCTAAATGGTTGCGTTTTGGTGGTAAAAAGCGCCTGAGGGGTTCACCCAAGAACCGACAGCGGTGCTCGCTGAGTATTTTCCAGCATTTACTAGTGATAGGACCTCTTGTGAGTCCGCGCGAGTAGGTACCACCACCCCGCTTATTTCTGTCGTGAAGCAGTAATGTCGTCAACTCGCATTTTTGGTGGCACTTGTTCCGGTTTGAAATGTGGAACACTTGCTATGGTAACCAATAAGGATTTGGACCTAATGTCCCGAGTTGGGTAGCGCATTAATGGAGCATTACATTTTATATTTATATCTATAGGCGCTTTCGTTTACTTTTCCCCTTACATATCCCTTTTTTATTCTCATTACATCCCTCCTTACATTAACCCTTCAAAGTGGATGTATGAATTTCCCAGACAGATGCAGGTTAACAGTTACAAATGCATTTCTTTACAGTTTTCGTGGTCACGATTAACTAAGGTGTTATTTGAATGTCGAGCTAAAATCAACGACAGCTGGCACATTATTGAAATGTCGACGGATAACAGCTTAGTCGTCTGTGACCACGAAAACTGTAATGTCGAAATGATATAATGTCATCAAATAGGATGTTAGTCACTCATACCACAGCATGACCTGGATGCACTATATAATAATAATAGTTATACAATTATGTCCTTTATATTAAGGCACTTTTAATATAAAAATAATTCGCTTATTTTGTTTTTCTTCACATCTTGTGTGCTTAGTGCGAGTTTTTTAACGTTCTCGATAGCGTAAAAGTTAATTCAAACTTGTATGGAGTTGGAACAGCGCCCCTAGCGGCAAACGCGGGTAAACGATCCAACTCCATACAAATTTGAGTTAACTTTTACGCTATCGAGAACGTTAAAAAACTCGCTCTAAGCATTGTAAGTCCGTTTACCAGTTGGTAAAGGCCTCCTCCAAGGCCGCGCTATAATTAATCTTATTTAATTACAGTTCTACCTACGATGCGTGGTGGTTTGTTGAGATGGCGCTCGTTGTGGATCTGCGGAGGAGCGCTCTTAGCGCTTTCCGCGTTCGTCGCGGCCCTGACGTGGGGCGCGATCTTCGATTCAGCCTTCGGTTCTGTGAGTATCATTGTTTAAGCATAACTTCCCCAATTAAATATTTATATTGAGCGACTGGAAAGAGTCCAAAAAAAGTTTTAAAGCATCTTTTAATAATAATAACTATAATTACATTTATTTACTCCACAACACAAATAACTTTTCAATTAATATGACATAAATTTCTAATTCTATCTAAACAATATTACAATATATTAAATATACTGACAGTGGAGATAAAAAGGCCGCGGCTCAGCTATGTGATAGCTGAAACTATCGCTGCTATTCTGCCGCTCCCTGTAATTTTAATCTATAAACTAATCTAATCTATAAAATAATAAACTAAACTACTAAAACTAAAATAATGAGATTGATTCTAGCTATCTTCTTTCCAAAATTTCATTTAAATGTAGTCGTGTTTCCGTGCGTTCTAAACAGAATTTCTCTTCTCTGTTCACTTTCTACTTATATGCGATTTTGATTGTGGAAACATGTTTGGTTATTGTTTTAGCTATTTTTTTAAATATATACTATTTTTTACCCAAATAAATAAATAAATAAACAAACTTATTCAAGGGTCGAATATATCCCTTGAAAAATCTTGAGTGAAGGCAGCATTCATCACTCTGCTATGTACGCCACCTTTGGTAACCATTTAATACCAGATGACTCGCGAGCGCTCGTCGGCTCATCAAACGTAATCAATAACAATTTAGATTTCCTGTTTTTTTTTTATTGTAATGGCGGACGATTAAAGTAAGCCTATTGTGTAAAAAATCTAAACTATGCATAGGAAAATTTATAGTCGACAATTTTGGCGCCAAATACCGATCAATAATAGGATAGATAGACATAATGACATATGTACTTATTATACTTACTTATTATATATTTACTTACGTTGTAACTATATATATATATGTTGTAACTGGTGGTAGGACCTCTTGGGAGTCCGCACGGGTAGGTACCACCACCCCGCCTATTTCCGCCGTGAAGCAGCAATGCGTTTCGGTTCGAAGGGCGGGGTAGCCGATGTAACTATACTTGAGACCTTAGAACTTATATCTCAAGGTGTGTGGCGCATTTACGTTGTAGATGTCTATGGGTTTCAGTAACCACTTAACACCAGGTGGGCTGTGAGCTCGTACATCCAACTAAGCAATAAAAAAAAAACTGATTCCTTAGAACTTATATCTCAAGGTGTGTGGCGCATTTACGTTGTAGATGTCTATGGGTTCCAGTAACCACTTAACACCAGGTGGGCTGTGAGCTCGTCCACACATCTAGGCAATAAAAAAATATTGATACGTTGTTTAATTCGTTCAAATTTTTTTTATTGCCCTTGTAGGCAGACGAGCATACGACCCACCTGATGGTGAGTGGTTACCGTCGCCCATGGACTTCAGCAATGCCAGGGGCAGAGCCAAGCCGCTCCCTACCGTTCTAAATGAATACGCAAGTAAGACCTGACAACATAGTTGTCAAATTTTTCGCGAAGCGCTCGTGAAATTTATGCCTGATGTCATAAGATGAAGGGAGCATTCATATTGAGATGCTTATCTATATATTAATACGAGAAGCAAAAACTTTGTATCCCTTTTTACGAAAATTGTGCGGACAGAGGAGTATGAAATTTTCCACGCTTATAGAGAATATAGAGAAGAAGTGCACAATGCTAATATTTTTTTTAAATAATGCATAAAAGATACATTAAATAAATAAAGTAAACATTACACACACTACCATGATTTTGACACACACACGCATGCATACTATTTATTTATTGTCAAATTTATGTTCTTGAGGTCTGTGGTCAAATTGAGAATAGATTAAATATTGTTTGTCTTTATTAATATTTTTCTATAGTGTAGTCTTGGCGTTAAAAATACAATCATAGTAGTGTACAAACTTACAACTCCAATTAATTATAGTCGAATTTCGACTACTGCGGGACCTCTAGTATGGATAAACCCTTGACACTGGAAGGGTATCTGTCATTACCCGATTGCTGCAGTAAAAAACCAAAATCTAGCTTATACAATTAGTACTGCGACCGCCTCACGACGGACGAACGAAGCCATATCATTTTAATCCTCTACTTGCTACAGGATATACTAATTACTTGGGCAGCTTAGGTACCTATTCCTGACTAATTTATACATTTGCGTTATTGAGGGCAGCGCTAGAAGTTTTTTACGTAGTGTTCGTTTTTGCGACAAAGTAAAACATTGGTCAGGCAATGGTCATTTAATTATTTTTCTAATTTACGTGCACGTCGTAAACACGTTGCGTTTATATATATATATATTTTATTTTTTTGTTTATTTCATAGGTGGGCGGTTACTGGAGCCCATAGACAACTACAACGTAAATGCCGCCACTTACCTTGAGATATAAGTTCTGAGGTCTCAGTATAGTTACAACGGCTGCCCCACCCTTTCAAAACGAAACGCAGTTCTGCTTCACGGCAGAAATAGGTAGGGTGGTTGTACCTACCCGTGCGGGCTCACAAGAGATCCTGCCACCAGTTTTTAAATACAGTACATTAAATTAATTATATTAAATTAAATTAAATAATAAATATTTTTCAAAAAATTTACTGTGATGATTCAGAATAATGCAATCATCTTGGATGTATTTAGCGCAGGACTGATCGTTGTAGCAAGGTTTGGGGGAGGCGTATCGGTGGCCGTTTTTTATTTTTTTTTATTGTTTAGATGGATGGGTGAGTTCACAGCCTACCTGGTGTTAAGTGATTACTCAAGCCCATAGACATCTACATTGTAAATTCGCCACCCATCTTGAGATACAAGTTCTAAGGTCTCAGTATAGTTACAACGGCTGCCCCACCCTTTCAAACCGAAACGCAGTTCTGCTTCACGGCAGAAATAGACGGGGTGGTGGTACCTACCACAAGAGACTCACAAGAGTAACCAGTAATTACGCAAATTATAATTTTTGCGGGTTTGATTTTTATTACGCGATGTTATTCCTTCACCGTGAAAGTCAATCGGGAACATTCGTCAAGTACGTATTTCATTAGAAAAATTGGTACCCGCCTGCGGGATCCGAACACCGGTGCATCGCCAGATACGAATGCACCGGACGTCTTATCCTTTAGGCCACGACGACTTCAAAACTTCGACGGCATGACAGTAGACGTATGTGAGCTAAAAGATAGAATGCAATCGTATTCTTTAAATAGAAACACATAAACTAGAAACACATGGCTTATAATGTTACCATCATTTATGACCTAAAGACCAATAATCAAGAGCTTTAACGAAATATACTTCGCTGTGAAGGTATTCTATACTGATCATAGTTAAACACGCACAGTAAATCTCTGGAATTCGTTGCCATCAGCGGTCTTCCCCAACAACTGCGACATTGGGTTATTCAAGAAAAGAGCATATTCTTATCTGAAGGGTAGGCAACGCACTGGCGTAAACGCTGGTGACCGTGGGCGGCGGTGAATCACTTACCATCAGGTGACCCGTCTTGCTCGTTTGCCTCTTAGTTGTTATAAAAAAATAGTNACAGTAAATCTCTGGAATTCGTTGCCATCAGCGGTCTTCCCCAACAACTGCGACATTGGGTTATTCAAGAAAAGAGCATATTCTTATCTGAAGGGTAGGCAACGCACTGGCGTAAACGCTGGTGACCGTGGGCGGCGGTGAATCACTTACCATCAGGTGACCCGTCTTGCTCGTTTGCCTCTTAGTTGTTATAAAAAAATAGTTTGTACAGGACTCATTCCCACAAGCTACGGACTATACTACTGCTAATACAATACTTTAGCCATGCGTCTCTTTATTATTGGGGCTTCCACCCAATGTATAAAGGCAGGTGGTAGAAATAACGCTGTGATATCTCCCTTGTGGGCACCTAGCACTTAGCACAATTAGCACTTAACATAGCCTGCTCTAGCAACCAACATTCCATCCAATGTCCCATCTAATACATTAAAAATTTCAATGCAATATCTCTAAGTAAATTCCTTCTCAGTTTAATACAATATATAAAGTCATTTGCATTAAATTTTATCAAAATACTGTTCGTACAATCAAAACAGAATTAATTGTAGTGCTGTGTTTATTTAAACTTTAACCCTTGTGTTTTCGTGAACGGATCTCGGAATGAACAATGTAATAACAACATATGAACAATGTAATAATTACTCAACAGATAATAGCTTATCGAATGACCAATTGCCGGGCTAGTTCAAAAAAAAAATCGATTGAATGGAATTGATCACGTGTGACCCTTATTGTTGTCTGTCTGTGCTATTTTTTATATCAATCGAACGCTTTTAAGTTGATATAAATTGCGTTAAAAGATTTCGTTACATAAATAGATCTATACAAATTAAACTTTTTTTTTTCATACCTAAGCTGATAGCCTTGAGAGGCTATATCAGCGTAACCTTAACTAGTAGGTGAACTCACGGGGCTCAAACCTGACGACGTTGCTAACACGAACCCTAGCAAGAGCCGTGCTTCGCAGAATCTACCACCGGATCGGAAACGCGACCCACTGAGGAGATCCGGCGAGAAACTCAGTGGGCTATGTCTGAGGGTTAATTTACCCGTCGAGCCCTTCGTCGCAAGCGTCTTGTCTTGGACGAGAACGATGACCGGAAATCAAACTAATCAATGGCGTCGAATAAATGACGCAGATATTATTTGTTCTATAAAGAAAATGAATAAGTTCAATAAACTTCCAATAACGATTGAACCAATCAATTGTAAGTACATATTTATTAATCTATGATTAACAAATTTACCCAATCAATTTCGGTCAAAAGTACGAATCAATAATTAATATGCGTGTTCCTTGAGCCGTAGTTGAATGAATACACAGAAACATGATACGTTAGCAACTGCGGCTTCTTTTGGGTAGTTAATGTAGCCTATTTTAAATAGCAATCAATGTAATGAATATAAACAAATGTTTGAGGTATCGGTCGAGGTAGATGGAGCAGTATTTTTCTTCACCGGCGTTAAATTTGTTGCAACTCT